CCCCCCCCCATGCTCCATCTGCCCCACCATCTCAGCGTTCACAAGCTGCACCTAGTACCTCATATTATGTAGGAAAAAACATTTAAAGCTGTGTCTATCACTGATTCTCCAAATCAGCATCAAATCTTCAGATTTGGATTCAGCCGAATCGGATCAGGACAGTGTTCCAAATCAACTAATCAAATCACTGTCCCCCAAATTGGGCTGAATCTGAATCGAATACAGCCCACTTTGCACACCCATAGTATTTAGTAATGGATGGTGTGGGCTGGGAGATGTCAGGAACAGATACAAACATACCGAGAGCAGAGGGTATGAAATCCGAAGATATCAGAACAGCCATTTGGAAAAGGCATTTTGGTTGCTGATTTATTTTTTGGAAGAGCTGGTCGTTAAGATATTGCAAACATGAAGTTACTCTTGGTGTGACTACAACAATGCAGCTTGTTTCATACTCTTTTGGATTGCATGCCTAAAGTCTGTGTGCAGCATATTCATTTGAAAGCCTGTTTTCTTAAACAGCTTTTGATTCTTACATTTTTTTCTTTATTTAGGAAGGCTTTTTTCCTAAGTTGTAAAACCTGGAAAACATGCTGCTCGCTCATACTTAATACTTAATATTGTACAAAAGATAATCCCTGGCAAAAATTACAAACAGGTTGAACTGTGTGCTTAGAAGTACCACTCTCAGCTCCTTATTTCCATCTTAATCTCTGTTCTTCTTCTCCCACTTTTCCTTTTCTCCCCTAAATAAATACTGATCACTGAGACTGTAAAATAAGAGAAAACTCATCCCACTCTTCTATCCCTGTCCTCATCCAGGTCACTAGGGCAGTCTGTGACTGTTGCTCCAACCCACACCCCTGATGTTGGGTTTGTATCTTGATGGTATTTTGGTTTCTCTCAGACTCCTGATCCTCAGCTCCAGAACTACCCATGACCTGGTCCATTAGACTAAAAACAGACAACTGGTTTAATATGGAGTTGATTAGTCCTAGAGATTTAACTTGCATCAAAACTAGGTTTAGACACTTGTTTATACATGGTGCTTAAGGCTAAGTACAGACAGTCAAAAAAACCAAGGCTGAATCTATTCAATCTTTGAAGGTTAGTTTAAGCTGCATTGACTGAACCTATAGGCAAGTAAACAGACATTCACTTTTGATTCCAGAAATGCAGCCACATGCCTGCAGGGGCCCAGGCCAGAAGCCAGAGGGGAAGCTAGAGTACGCCTCCCTGCTGGATGGGAGCAAACAACTTAAGCCAAGGGTAGCCTGCCCACACACGCTTATCTCTGTAATGCTGTTCCATGAAAGTTCCATGTGGTTTCTTTTTAAGTATGTTTGAGATTAAATAAGAACCAGGCTCATCTTGCTAAAAGCAGAGCCCCTTAAGTCTACCAGAGAGATGTAAAATAGACTGCAAGGGAAATGGAAGTGAATCAAAATTCCTGAGATTTCTTTGAAAATCCTAACCTATATATTTTAATTGTATCCAACAGTACCTGGGATACAATTTGAATCCGGAGGGGATCTGGGACAGAAGTTCCATAAAATTATTTAACTTAAATCAGTTCAGTCTGATACTACATCCATCCATGTTTATCTTAAACCAGCTTCGGCCATTTTGAAAGTGGTTTGAACTTTTGTTGTCTTACAGGTTTGAACCCGTTTCCAATCACTTATACTGGTTTATGTGTAATTTCTGTCCCTGCCCTAAGTGACAATTAGCTGTACCTGCTCCAAGCCAGAGTATTAATATGGATACTTCACAGATACCTGATGTGGTACAATAGGCTTGTCCTTTGGTAAAGTCTGAGGTTTGCCTCCAAACAAGATGCTCAAATCCAAATTGAAACTCCTGTTTTTAGTCTTAAAGTCCCCTTTTACTTCTGCTGCTGCCCTATCATCATTGTTAATATTGAAATTGGGACATCGGTGAAGCATTATCCATGAAAGCAGGCAGGCAGATTGGGGGTCCGCACCCCCAGGAGGCGTCTGGCACAGCCCCCACAGCCCTCCCAGGGGTGTGGGCGGGCCCCCGATCTGCCTGTTGGATCACAGAAAGCTGCTGCTGCCACCTGGGACCGGTGCTGGGCACAATCCACACCCAGCGCCAGGAAGATTTGTGCTGCCACTGGCCCCAGCCAGCAGCAGCAGCCTCCTGTCATCCTCCTGTCATCTGGCATGCAGATCCGGGGCCCCACACCTGCAGAAGGGCTGGGGGCTGTGCCAGAATCCTCCCAGGGGCCGTGGCCCCCGGATCTGCACCGGACAACAGGAGGCTGCTACCACCAGCTGGGACTGGCACTGAAACCAAGCACGCCTGGCTTCGAAACTCAAAATGTTTCAAAACTTTCTAAACTTTGAGTGCCCTTGTTTCATTTCAAAGCTGTTTTGAAGGCTTTTGTTTCATTTCAATCTCGCTGTTTCAAGCTCAAAACACATCAAAACAGCTTCGAAATGAAACACCCAGCAAAATTTCACACAGCCCTACTACGCACCTCAGATGAAACTACACACCTCAGATGTAAGGAGACTGACTTGTTATGCAGGATTTAGTTTATCATTTAGTTGGATTAGTGAAATCTCAAACTCATGGAGTCCGAAAGTGTGGGCCTAATAGTATAGTCAGGGATTTCCAGTCATATATATTTCCTTTTTCTCTTTTTCTATCTGATTTTTCTCTATATATCTGCTTCTTTATTCCGTTTTACTTTGATTTAGTTGTTACCTCATGCTTAGTCTTCAGTGCTAGCCATGTTTCTCTACAGATCTTCACTCTGTTCTTTGAATATCTTATATTCTGGGTTAGAAATTATTTTTATCCAGTAATTGATATATACTTTTTTGCCCTGCTGAGCCTTTAGCTGTGTCTGATTTTCCTACATACTTTCATAAAGTTCACTTATTCACCAAGCGACTGTTATTTTTTGTAACCTGTCATTTGCTTGCACCTGAACTAGCACTGGATTCATCTACCAGGAGCAGGAGGGCATACTTTAATTTAGTCTCTCTCCAAGGGAGAGTGCCTGGAATAAATGCATGATTATGCCAAACAAAAAAACGCCATCATCTAATTCCATATGGCTGCTTATACATGTGCTTCTTGACATTCGAATTAGAATGAGTCTGAGCAGATACGATTAATCAAGTCAGCTCTGCTTTCTAATTAGAACACTGCACCATGGCCGCAGTCTCACATGTGTTAAGCCCCCGCACATTTAAAAATGGCTGCAGGACACTTTAACTCAACCTCATCAAATGAGGTTTAGATAAAGCGTCTCATGGCCGTTCCAAAATGTGCAGGGCCTTAGTACATGTGATGCTGTAGTGTTTTAATTAGAGTGGCTGCCCAGGAACCGATCTAACTAAAACGCCCTCCTTTTCTGAGCATGTATACAGGCAGTCTGTGTTTCTTCTTTACCAGTGGTTCAGCCAGTCAGTGGTAAAGCGAAATACTTTAAATGCATATTTCTAGGTGATAGAAAACACCATCTTATGTCTGTAATGCTATGTCATGCAAGTTGCATGTTTTTTTAAGTATGTTTGAGATTAAGCAAGATGAGCCTGATTCTTATTTAAACCAGGGGCCCTTAACTATACCAGAGAGATGTAAAATAGACTGCCATGTAAATGAAAGTGAATCAAAATTCTTGAGGCTTCTTTGAAAATCTTAACTTATATATTTTAATTGTATCCAACATTACCAGGGTCATTTAGTACAAGATATAATGCAATGTATAACAACATGCATATTAACAAAAAAATAACTGAGGCCAGCCTTATGGGTAGGCAGTATGGGCAACCACCCAGAGCACCATGGTTAGGGGGCGCCACACACACCCCCCCCGCACTCACAGCTGTGCTTTCCTCTCCCCCCAGCCAATACCTGCCCCAGGCAGGAGGAGCAGTGCCCAGACCAGCCCACTCCCCACTTCCAGCCACTGCTCAAGAGGAGCCAGATGGGCATGCATGGGTGAGGTGGCACCTGCTCCAGTCTTCCTGCCTTTGTCCCACACAGCAGTAGTGGTACCTGCCCACCCACCTGCCTGGCGCACCATGCTGCTTTGCCTCCTCATGGAGAATCTCAATGAGAAATTAAGGGAAAAAGTATCCAGAGTTAAATCGGATGAGCGTGGGATGGCAACTCTTCTTTCATATCAATTTAGTGTATCTGCCTCATTCCAATTTTAAGTGGAAGGTAAACTGGAATAGTTTACCCCAAAATTAAATCATTAACGTACAGCAGCTTAGCTTCCACTTCCTGCAAACAAATTGTAATTTTTTTGTCCGTTCACACCCTAAGATTCAGGAAGCATGTTCCAGAGAGCTGCAGGTTACAAATCAGACAAATTCTAGCACCAACAAATGTTGAAATTGTAGAAAAAAGGCAGATGGGAAGCTGTTATGATACATGGTGAATTGAGCATAAATATACAGAAGAAGAAAAAGGAAAACTAGAAGGGAAAGGGAAAATGATCACAGAAGTTGGGCAAGATAGTTATTAAATTGGGTTTTTTTTATATAGGTGAGGATAATAATGGCAGGAAAGACATAAGCAAAATCTTGGCAGAGTCATGACTGGAACAAAGCACATCAGCGTGGGGAATAGATTAAAAATTATACCATCCCTCATGTATAGATGTGAGATTCTGTGAGATGAAAATATTTGGCATCCTATGTTACTGTGACCTACACTGTTGTTGCCATAGAAAATCATTTGTTTCAAGATGCCCATGATGATGATCCTGCTTCTATTGCTATACCTTCATTGTATAGCCAAGGCATATTTTCCCTTAAATAAAACTAATTTAAATGATCTCATTTCAATATCTCATATAGACGACACCGCTGCCCTCATAAACCCACAAGGATTTATGATGATAGAGAACAGCCTTGCCTCATGACGGAATATGTGGAAAAATATCCCCAACATGGCAACATCCCTCCTCCCCAAAGCCTTAAGCCAAAGCAGGAGTACCAAGTACATCGTGGGAAAATGGAAGGAATCACAACATTTAAGTAAATACATTGAAGCAATGTGTTTTGAAAGCAATGTTTCTTATATTTTCTCATTCAGGAACGACACGTATGCTTATTGCAATCATTTCCATTGTGATATATATTTTATAATTCATTCTTTTCAAAGGTGTTTATATACAAACTTGGAATATAAAATGGCAAAAATCAATTAAGTTTCATAGTTGGCTTAGCCAGACTATTGAAGGTGATATGCAAAAAATAAAATAGTTTTGTGGGTTTCATATTGACATCTATAGAAGATCTGAAAGAGGATGTGGTGGTGGCTGCTTAATACATTAGATACCTAGCTTCATCTCTCCTGGATAACTGGGAAACTACTGTAGTACGTTCATAGATATCAGAGAAGAGGTACTTGTATGAGGAAAGTGATTTTTTATTCAAACACTTCTCAAGACCTAAAAAAATATTCCTTCAGCAAATGTAGGAGAGAGAGGACCAGAAATATCTGTTAAAAAATTAATGCAGAAGAACATCTTTCAAAGAGGAAGAGAAAGGATCATTTCATAAAGCAGAAAGTAAAAAACTGAGGGAGTACCATGCAACCTTACTTATCCATGGCAAGCTATCTTCAAACAATGTGAACCAAGTTGAAGTTGAAGCCTGTTCAGCCTGTGTCTATGTAGTACCAAAATTCAAATGGTTCGTTGCTGAAATAGTGTCTTGCACAATGATAATGTATTTGTTTGGGTGCCACATACTCAATGTGCACATATGAAACCAGATTCCTAGACAAATACTTCTTTCTTTCAGTTCTCTTTAAGCTAATTTGCACTGTTTAAATATTTGGCCTTGGATAAAGTTTAATCTTTTAACCTGGTTTCTACAATTCCACCATTTTCTTAAGTACAAAGAATAAATAATTTATCATACTTCTCCTCTGTTTATCCTGTATTTAGCCCCTAAATTTTAACTCTTTAAAAAAGGTCTCTTATTTTAGTCCCTGCACAAGAGATTTTTCATTTTTATGTTTCTATTTATGGAAAAATTACCATTGCCTCACTCAGAAAAAGGTTAGGATTTTGAGTAATGTGGTATGTATCTCCATTTCAGATCTGATTATCTTCCATATGATGTTGTGAAAAGACCTCTTCAGGTACAAGAAGAGTATAAACCAAAACCTGGAGAGATTGATCTTGGAACTACATACAAGAGAGATTATAATCCTCATAAAATACAACCAGTGACATTAGTAAGACCTTTAGAGAGAAAGCACATTCAAAGAGGAAAACTAGACACCATTCCAACCTATCAAGGTAGTAGCACATGTCACTTTTAGACAGAGAAATGGGCAGCAGGATGACTGTATTATGAATGGCCTTGCTGGAAAGGTAGAGTTTGATATCTGGCTTTGGTCTCTCATACTGGGGCCAAATAGGTGGAAGTCGGTAATCAACTTCTAAAGAAGAGGGAATGTTCTGAGTTACTGCTGATATGTTCTGAAAGGAGAAACATTTTCCACATTTCCTTGACTAGTAGGAGGGTGACTGATGTGCATTGCTTTGGGGGAATGTCTGTTTTGGAACGAGGGGAACATGGGTGGCATTACTAGTTATAATGTAAGCAAATCTTCCAGATAACATTTTCTGCAAATCAAGACTTTTTAGTGAACAGAGTCAAACTGAGGAAAATGTTCATGTTTTTAATGTTGTTATGGATGTGATGTGCTAACAAACTTGTTTTCATAACTTCTTTGCTACTGTACTTAGCTGAAGTCTTGGGCTAACAGTAATACTCTACTCTCAGCAGTTTTTAGACTCACTGAGGAGATAAGCACATTCTGATTTAAATTTTTAGAAAAGGACTGGAACTCTTGGAGAGAAAAATATATTTTATCTGACCATGAGACTATCAGTTTTGAGAAGGCAACTGAGTTCCTATTTTTCCCTCCAGGCAGACTGATTGTCCACAGTTGGTTTCAGCTCTCTCTCCACTCTAATAATGGACTGTTTGAACAACAAAAAGATAGGTTACAAAGATCAGCACAGTGGTCCTTAAACATTCTCCATTTATGTAATTCAGAAAGTTCACTGTAATTTATAACCAATCTTCTACATATGTAACATTGTACTTAAATTCTAGTGCAACTACTCTGCAACCCAAGGCCACATATAGACATTCATTTTCTGTTAGGAGAGCTAGTGTTTTCTCAGGAAAAATTGTAAGTTTACAGTTGTCCAGGCTTTTTCTCCCAGAGCAAAACTAGCTACTGCAGGAGAAAAATATCCTGGGAACAACCAGGATTAAATCACAGTCTCCTGGGAGAGTGATCATCTCTACACATTTTTTTCTCAGAGAAGCCACTGTCCTCCAGCATCCCAGGGTGCTTTGCTTTCCCATCTTGCAGGAAGACACCATGTCACTTGCTGGACTCTGACGCTCCAGCTGAGCAGGGAACAGAACATGTGCCTTTCACATTGTGCTGCAGAGAGACCCAGGCAGTCTGAATCAACCAATCAGAACTGCCAAGTTTACTGCTTTCATCTGCCTCTGGGCAGACGGGGGGAGTTTGCAGAGCATGCTGAGAGGTGTGTGTAGGGTTCCCCTAGCTGCACAGTGTCAGCATTGGAAGCTCTCTGCTCTTCAGGGGCTCAACACTGAAATACATGTTCAGGCATCTCCGGGTAAGTTTTTCTACCAGGAGAACAAACCTGGGAGAACATCTGTACACAGCCCACATTAAAAATAGCTGAGTATTGAATGATAAGATATGGCTTTTAGAGCTGCAAGCTTCAAAGACAAGAGATGTTCTGAGGATGAAGGCTAAGGTCACCAGGCCAGAAGGGAAGGATATTTAAGGTGATGAAGTCCAGGTTTGGCCATCAGAAGAGGAAGTTAGAATATTTGGAGTAAAGAAAGTAGAGCATAATGACAAAAGCTGAGATCGTGGAAGCATGGAATCAAGCATTACTGAATTTAAGGAAAGAAAACATCTTAATAACAATTCCAGTTCACTAGCTTCTTAATACTTGTCATTTAGGTCTTTAATCCCTTACTAAAATTATGTTCCTGTATTTCAGCTACCTTTGTTTATCATAGCAAAATGAAGGCTGGGAAGGTATGTGGTTACTCTCTATAAATACACCAGAAAAGAAACACAAGGAGGAACAAGAACTATTTAAGCTAAAGGAAAATGTTGGCATCATAACACATAGGCAGTAGCTACCATGAATACACATAGTCTGCAAAATAGAAAAAGATTTTTAATAATCAGAGCAATGAGGTACTGGAACAGCCTTCCACTAAGACCACTGGGACAAAAATTTACTTAGTTTTATGATGGTCAGTTTCAGTAAGAGGATTATATGACCTGGTTGCCTTCAACAGCAGATACTAAAGCCCATTGGCATGATTCAATGACTAAGGAGTTGTATGCTCCAGTCCTATGCTCTTTGTTTCATCAACAGCGCTAGGATAAAACATAAACTGTGTGGATATCCCCAGTATACCGATATTTTTATACAACAGAATACAGAAATTGAATCTGTACACCTCAAATACCCTTTTTTTCTAAAAAGAAATAATCATTATGTGGTACCAAGTAGCATTTTGTTGTATGTCTCTTAAAATTCCCAAAACTGGAGAAAAACAGAAGTGGCATTATAGCAGACACTCAAACAGAATGGTATGTCCTGCATAACTCTAATGTTCTGCTAGGAAGCGTTAACGTAAAAAGAAATTGGATTTTTTTCGATAGAATGCCCACAGATTAGTGATGAATTCCATAATCTTTCTTTCTATGGTTAAGAATTATTTTTGTCATATAGATGACTACAGATCATGGGAAGTTCAAAGAAGGGGACATAATAAATTGGACCACCCCTACCAACCACCTACAGAGAAGTTTGGAAATTCCACCACATTTCAAGATGATTTTATTCCCCGCGAGCTGAATCCTAGACAAAGCTTTAAACCTCCTTGTGTGGCCAAACTTTCAGATGTGCCTTTTAATGGTGTTACTAGTCATCGCAGTTCTTATGTTGCTCATCCACTGGAACCAAAATTTATAAGATCAAAGGAAGAATACAAGCCAAGCAGCCAACCCTTAGAAGATCTCACAACCCACCGGAATGATTTTAAAGGACTACCTGGAGAGCTTTCAAAAAGCTGCAAGCCTGAATACACCAAATTTGGGTCCAATGCTCACTTTAATGGAAGCACTGAATTCCAGGATTGTTTTCAGCCATGGTCAGTCTCATTGCCTGAAGTCCGCAAGATAAAAGAATATGTTCCACCTACAGGTAACATGGATTTAAACTCCACAAGCCATCTTGACTATGTTTGGCATGAGATCTGTCCTGTTGCTGCCATAAGACCAGTTTCTTACGGAAGAAAGAGCAAAGTCCCTTTCCAAGGAAACACCACCATGAAAGAAGACTTTCAAGCTTGGGACAGCAGCCGGCGGGAAATTATTAAAAGACATCAGGAAATTCCAAAACCCACTGGAAAATTTGATGGATTGACCACATTCAAATCTCATTATCTACCACATGAAATAATTCCAGCTCAAAGTTTCAAACCTTTACATGTTGCTCTCCCAAGTTCAGCTCGGTTTGAAGATGAAACCATATATCGTACAGAGTATACAACAAAGAAACAAGACATCTGCCCAGCAAACTATTCATCTCCTCCAGGATATGTCTACATAAACACAGATTCTCAGGGTCACAAGTTTTTCCACAAGGTTACTCCAGAAATGAATACATTTTCAGAATCCAATGGTAATCATATTGCAAAGGAAGTAGCTGTTGTGTCATAACTTGTAATTTTACTGGTTTACACAATTTTATAACACATTTGGAATCTTTGGAGCTAAGATTCAAAACAAATATAAAAACAAATGGCAATTGAATATGTAATTTCTTATTGTAATTTTTAAAATGTTAAAATTACTTAAATTGATTATACTCTATAAATTATAGTTTTAAAATCTAAGATTAGACAACTCGTGCTAGCAGTATTCTCCTGAATATTTTGCATGAAATCTATTCTCTTTAATTGTGCGTCTACAATTTTCTGTGTTTTCTAGTTTTCAATATGTTCCAGTCCACACATATGTCATAAGCATTTAAACATGATAGCTGTTTCCTGGATTTTTAAAAGATCATTAAATATCTATATTAGCAATAATAGGCCTTAAATATAGTTTCGGCACAATTAAAATGTTCACAATATAGTTCATGTAACTGACAATCTAATTTAGGAGATATTCTTAGTATTACTTTTGAAATATGGCTTTAACATAGTTTTCTTTAACAGCATAGAAAAAGGATCTTTTAAAAAATCTTGCTAGCCAAACTGAATTATAAATTTGCTCCCATGGTCAGTCTCATTGCCTGAGGTCTGCAAGATAAAAGAATATGTTCCACCTACAGCTAACATGGATTTAAACTCTACAAGTATGTTCAGCATGAGATCTGTCTTGTTGCCCCAGTAAGACCAGTTTCTTATGGAAGAAAGAGCAAAGTCTACTTCCAAGGAAACACCACTATGAAAGAACACTTTCAAGCTTGGGACAGCAGCCAGCAAGAAATTATTAAAAGACATCAGGAAATTCCAAAACCCATTGGAATATTTGATGAACTGACCAAATTCAAATCTCATTATCTACCATGAGATCATTCCAGCTCAAGGTTTCAAACCTTTACATGTTGCTCTCCCTAGGTCAGCTCGGTTTGAAGATAAAACCATGCATTGTACAGAATATATTCCAAGGAACAAGATATCTGCCTGGCAAGCTATTTATCGTCTCCAGGATGCGTCTATATGAACACAGATTCTCAGGATCACAAGTCTTTCCTTAAGGTTACTCTAAAAATGAAGAACTCTTTCAGAATCCAATGGGAATTATACTGCAAAGAAAGTAGCTGTTGTGTCATAACTTTTAATTTTAAATGTTTACACATTCTTATGAAATACCATATCTTCTTACATATAACACACACCCAAAAATCAGCCACTGGAAAATGGAGGGGTGGAGCGTACATTATAAGTTAGGAAATATGGTAACAGAAATTTCTGCCACTTCAGCTTCTGCTAGGCACAAGTGGAAGAACTCTATACATGAACCACAGAAGGCAGAACAATGAGTAAGCTACTGCTACTCTATTACCTACTACAAGCAAAATTATTTTTCTTTGTTCTGTCTTTCAAAAACAAGGGGCATATCCTATTCTATGGCATGTTATAGATGAGGAAAATATGGTATTTAGAATCTTTAGGACAAGTACAGATGTTCCTTTTGTACTTCTAAAATTATTTATTTCTTAAAGTGTTTCTCGATTATAGTTTAAAAATCAAAGATTAGGCAAATTGTGTTAATAGGTTCCTCCTGAATATTTTGAATGAAGTCTATCCTCTTTAATTGTGCTCCTATAATTTTCTGTGCTTTCCAGTTTTCATTGTGTTCCATCCCATGCACATGTAATGCCATTTACATATTACAACATTTGTTCTGGCCTTTAAAAAAATCATTACATTTATATGATACCAATTATATGCCTTACCTATAGTTTAAGCACAATATAAATTTTCGTAGCATAGTTTATGAAACTGAAAATCTAAATGAACAGACCTTCTCAACACTACTTCTGAAACATGGTTTTGATGTAGTTTCTTTAAGCAGTGTGGAAAAAGGATTTTTTTTTTTAAATCTTGTTAGCAGAACTGTAGGCCCATTGCCTATAACATATCATAAATGGACCTCAGAAGATAAATACATTTTCCATGCTGATCAAGGAAACTCTACTAGAATGGTATTAACATGTTCTTACCTTTGTTTTTCTTTAGAACAGTTTCCTCCTACACCGGATAAAGCCTAAATGTCAAATTTTAACTATAACAAAAAGTAATCTGCTAATTACTTTGTACACATATACAGGAGCATGTTTTTCTGAGAGAAAAAAATGTTGTTGATTCTAGTTCTTAGTTTCTCAACAAATTTTTTTTCCATGTTTCATGTAAACAGAAGGAATATTTTGTTGACATTATACGTATAATTGACTACCTGTCAAAATAAGAGATATTAAATGTTTTTTACAAAGCATTTGTCTTTTTATAAAAATGTAAGAAGCTGTTTGAATCCAGGATTTAGAATGAACCCTTATTGTATTTCTGTGATTAACAATGCTGTCATATTCTTTCTTATCACAAACAATATAACTTTTAGTATTGCATATGCTTTTCTACTTACTGCTGCAGGAAAGTAATTTTACCTCTGAAGAGTTTTGAATTTGTAATGGTTAGCCAATCAGTGATAAAAAGGACTAAACAACTGCACAGTATTTGAAAGCAGGAACTGAAACACATGAGGAAGAAACCAGAATTGCCAGGCATGTTATCTTTGTATAACCACTACATGAGACTTCTGGTGTTCTTACAATATTGGTTATTCCCAGAAGTCACCCCCCCCCCTTCTTTGTACTGTGTGAATTTGATTGAACTGAGCTGAATTTTCAGTTAAAGTAAATTTTTTTTGAAGCCCGTAATTTGTCGAGTTTTTAAAGAGATGTGTTTGGTTGTCTTTTTCATTACACATGTGGCATGAGTAAGGGGCATTGTGTAGACAGGGCAGGGATGCAGGGACTGAATTCTAGCTCAAAGTCACAGCTAGATCCCTGCTTTCCCTCTCATGCACAAGGGCCAACTTCACACCACACATCCGCTTCTATGTCCTGTATAATGTCTCACTGGGCAAGTACCTCAAGCACAAATGGAGGGGACTCTTAACATCCTATCCCTCCCCTGTGTGGGCATTCAGCAAAACTCACAAGTAAGAAATGGGATCCCATTTATACATATATAGAAATGTACTAAGGGTTGCAAAGAAATACAACAGCACTTTCAAATAGGTGTCATAATTTGCGTCTGGGTTTATTTGATTTCAGTGGGTTTTCTTGCTTTTCTTTTTGACCCAGAATGCTTCCTCTAAAATTACGTGAAGGGCAGGTGGTCTTTGTGATAGTATTATTAAACTACCATGCCCCTGACATCATGTTTTTAGGCATATTATCAACCCATAGTAATACCATTATACTGGAAGCAGTTTTGATTTGTACAGATTCCTACAACAGGCTTTATCAATGTTTTGGGCCAATTTGTCCCTAAACAATGTGGTTTATTAACAATTTTGTCACAAAGAATAGCAGTTTAAAAAACAAATATTCCCAATGCAATATCCTTACTGAGCCTTAAAATAAATATTTTATGGTGCCCTTTCAGATGAAGGTGTAAAAGTAGAAAAGTTACCCAAGCAAGTTCAATACTAAAATGCAATTGTATGCAACAAGTTACACAACTAGCCTATATAATTGTTAGGCAAAACCTTATTCTCCTAAATCAGGGGTGATCAACCCCCTGTCTGTGAGCCAGATACAGCCTGTACAGCAATTTCATCTGGACCAAGTGCCTGGAAATTTGGGAGAGGAGGAGCAGTTGCACCATTAATTGCTGGTCCCACGCTGCCAGATTTCTAGACCTGTGGGGAGCCCTATAGGCCAGATAACATGACCCTGTACACCAGATTGGGCTGGCTCAGGACTGGATTAACTTGTGCATAGGTCCGATCGGAGGAAGGCAGGTCCAGAGTGGGCAGCAGGGGCCAAATCAGGTGGCAGTGAAACAGGGCAACTCACAGCTAGGTTCAGTGGCATGGGTCCAGGTTGGGTGGCACATGGCCAGATCAGGTCATGTAGGTCCAGATTGTGACAACATAGGTTTGGATCGAGGCGGTGCAGATCTGGATCGAAAGGTACAGGTCCAGATCAGGCAATGCACAACCAGATTGGGAAGTGCAGGTCCAGACTGGGGTGGGCATGGCTGGATCTAGCGACACAGGTCCATGTTGGGCAGTATGTGGACGGATCCAGTGGCATGGGTCCAAATTGGGCAGCACATGGCTGGATCAGAAGGCGCAGGTCTTGACCATAATGGCCTGTGTCTGGATTGGGCAGTATGTGGCCAAATCAGGTGCCTTGGGTCTCTATTGTGACATATGGGATACAGCCTACAGACTGACTCCATGCCACTCATCTGGCCCATGGAGGTAAATGGATAGTTACCACTCTCCTAAAGGATATGCAAAAAAAAAAGTGGCATAGATTCTACACCATAAAACTAGAACCCATGCATATTTTTTCAGCACTGGAGGCATCTGTTTGGCTCATGAGACAATAGATTTGTGCCAAGTGAGGCATCAGCTCATTGAACTGCTCCAAGTGTGGCTGTGAAGCCCAATTCTTGAATAACAGTCCCCTTTGCACTTATCATAGGAAGTTCATATCTAACACTTTTGAATGTGGTGTGGGGTTCTTCCTGAGGTTTCTTCTTTCCTCTACTTGTTGAGCCCTTCTTTCCTCACAAGCCTTCATTCTGCCCTTAATAGACTGTTTCCAAGCACTTCAATCCTCAGCAGTCTTCTCCCAGTTGTTTGGCACAATGTTCATTGCTTTCATCTCTCCCTCACAAATGTCTTTGAAATGGAGATAAGGATGCCTATATGGTCATCTTCCCATAAAGAGCTCTCCATACAAGAGATCCTTGGGTATATGGCCAATGTCCATTTTCCGCATAACCAAGGCAAAGTCAATGCTGACTGAGAAGAGCATGAATGCTCAGTATGTTGGCACCTTTCAAGACCTCAGCATGGGCAACTTTACCTGACCTGACCTTTTTCAGTATTAACATCTAGGACTACTACTACGCTGACACATTATTTCCTTAGCAGTCATTTAATTCCTATCTCATACAAATATTATGACATTTTCTTGTTCAGCATTCTTACTTTTAAGTTCTCCTTTCTCATAGCAATTACAAGTGCAATGGATGCTTTCAAGAAGCCGAGTGTTTCATGCTGTGTGCTGCAACTCACCCAATAATTACAAAACCATGTGGCTATTTCCCTGGATCTGGCCAATCTCTGCTTAGTGCAACTTCTGAAGAATTGGGCTAGGGACAGACATAACACATAAACTGGTTTAAGTGATCAGAAACTGGTTTAAACCTGTAACAGAACAGATGTTTAGTGCACATAAACCAGTTTGAAAATGGCTGAAACTGGTTTGGGATAAACCTGGCTGCATGTAGTATCAGACTTGACTGATTTGAGTCAAACCGATCTATGCAATGTCTGTCCCACCAAACACCCCCAGCATCCCAGCATGCTCTCTGGGCTGGGCAGTGCTCTCTGCTCCCCAGCAGAGCTGGGCCCTCCCCTCTCCTTCCTGGCCAGAGCTCTGGCAGAGACTTGCAGACACAGCAGCATCTGCCTGTCTTCTCCCTGCTAAGCAGGAATTATTCCCCCCTCCCCTCTGCCTTACGTAGACACCTCAACTTTAGCTAGCAGATCACATGCTGGCTACAGTTCACGCTGTGGGAGATGATAGGCAGACAGGCTTTTTGGAGCTAATCAGCAGGTAGCTTAATGTCCTTCCTTGGAAATGCTGTTTAAAAAGAGCTCCATTAGTTAATGGAGAGAGGCTTTGCTTTCTTAAAGGGTTGATAAACACTGAGTTACGGGTGATAAACATTCCCTGCTGGGCTGCTTGGGGTTGGGGGGAGGGAATAATCAGAGTGTCCTGCCGGGCCTGGCCATGCCCCGCTCAGCTCAGCCCTGTGGAAGTCAAGGGAGGGCTGCTCTAGCACCCCCAGCTTCAAGCCTAAGCCACTGCTGGCATATGCCTGCATTTCTGTGATGTCTGTCCAGTTACAAAACTGATTTAGCCTAGCCAGATTAGACTAACTTGCAAAGATTGAATCAATTCAGGCTCAGGCTTTTTGAATGTCTGTTCCCTAGTCCTGGAGAGAAAAAGTGACTGCACTGTACCTTGACACATATTCCTGGTTCTGGAACTGGTTCAGTCTTCATTGCAACTTACAGAACTTTCAGGATAGCTCTAATGGTGACATCCATTAACAATGGTTGCACAAGAAACATTTCCATCAGTTGGGGATCAGCAGAGGCCAGCAGTACTCTGGCTATATCTCCTTTCACCATCAGACATGCCTAAATTACTGGTACTCCCTAGGCAAGAAGTGAAAGTATGTGAGGGAGCTTATAGTAGAGAAATGATTACACTGGGTCTTGGGAGACAGAGAAGCCTCCTACTCACTACTTAAAGTAGTTTTAAGCATGATTTGCATCTCTACAACAGTCCAAGGCAAACTTTAGTTTACCTGAGGATCTGGTCCATAACCTGTCCAAATGAGAAAAAAACGTAATTTTTAAGGAACCAAGAATGTGGAACTAATACAATGATAACATAACATTAGTGATGGCAGCATAGGTATTGTGGAAATTACATTAATAACCTTTGTATAAAAATGCAGTTCAATAACCAAAGTAGAGTTTATTTCAGAAATATCAAAACTAGGTTTATAAAAGATAAATGTCAGGCATCTTTGGTTACTACAGTAGCATTAAAATAAGCTCCAGAGGAATGTCATGCTAGCTGCAATAACAAACATTTACAGCATTGGTTTCCATATAGCATGCATACTTAGCCAAAGACAAAATCAAAGCAATGAAGTAGTGCTATATGTTAACATTAAAAAATTTAAATACAAAGAAAAAAACCATGAATAAGAAATTTTGGTAATAAGAAAAATATATGTCCCAAAATCTTTATTAAACACTGTACAAGACAAAATATTGCACTTTTAAAATCAGACAATAAATATACACAAAAGTATTTTACAAGTGTTTTGCTCTTTTAATTTAAAAACTGTTTAAACAATCAAGACCCATTATTGATTTTAAAAGGTAATGATCAGGAATATCCTCTCTTTGCAGTCAGCCTAGGACACAACTGTCCACACGAAACACTTCCTATACAGTAGTGTTAATCTAATTTTCAGTGATGCAAACCCATGGTGTAGGGATACTGTTGGTAACACCATTCTTACAGCATGCCTACTGATTAACCTATTAACACAGGGTCAAATTCAGCTATGTATTGAGGCCTCCAACTTGTGCAATAGTGTGGAAGCTACAAAAGAAAACAGAATTACCATCAGTAGCCCTGTACAGACTTCTCCAGGGTAAAAACCAACTAATATTTAGCTCCCTTGGGTCCACAATTTGCTATACAGAAAAAAAATTACATAAGGATGTCATGATCATAAATTCCTTGCTCATATAATACTAGAATGTTTAAGGGTCAAGAGGAAAGTCAACTTGACTGAAAACCACTTAAAATGGATTTCTTACACATGTCTATTTTCATAATTAACAACCCTTTCCTCCTACTTTTTTTCCATGGCTGTAAAAATATGAAATATTTATTCAGCCAATAGAGCTTGACAAGCACCTTTGACCAGTTTTTGGTTTTAGTTCCCCATTTGACTGTGTGCAAGAGATCAGTCTTCCGAATGTTTCATTCACAGCTCTGACAAGGAAGCCTTGTTTCTAATTTAAAATCAGTAGAGAAGACTAATCTTGCCACTACTTTGATCATATTTCAGTGACTGGAGTAGAAGAATAGGAATAAAAGAAAAATGACACCTCATTTATTCAAACACAGATGCACGGCTGGTTGAAAACTGTAACAGCTTCTACAGTGCTTTTTACTGCATGCACGTAAATACAGAAATGAGAAATGAAATGCATTGCTGTGGATTCATCTGACAGCTAATCTCAATAAAGTTTATCCTGTGAGACTGACCCTTAGCTCAAACAGTTATGAAAATGCAGTCACTGCCAAATTCTTTATAGCTACAAGCCATAGCTCCTATAAATTTAAGTATCATGTTATATTTGATAAAATAAGAGAAACAAAAATGGATCAACAGATGCTGCATTCCAAAATTCTTTTAAGGATTTTTGACTTGGCTTTCTAATAACTCCAGTGAAGTAAGCATTACCTAGAGCTTTTGAGATAATATTTTTTTCCTGATTAAATTATGCTTGGATAGCCTGTAAAGTTCTATAGATCATGTGCCAAAATATTTTCTTCTTAATCCAGACATTAATTTTTTTAATACACTAAAAACTCAATTGCAGAAAAATATCCTGTCTGGTGTACCGTTCTACAATGCTGTTTCTTATCAACCTCATGTATCCATTTAACTGTTATGTCTACTACTATTATATACAAGTATACATTTCTTATGGTCTAGATATAATGAACCTCTCGTTTCATCTCTTCACTGCAGCATCATGAACTTTCCATAGAAGATTTACACTTCTTGACATGACTGACAACATCTTTGTTTGTAGATGTCTATCAAGCATAACTTTAGATGCTTTACAAATGTACAGTAGTGAGTTGTATCCTTGCATTCGCCTTCTGAAAAATATATTTAAACATTAAAAGGCTTTATAATGAAGAAAGGATAAATAGTAAAAACCAATCATCATAAATTTCAAATAAATGCAGGCTTGATGGTAATCAGGTTACATTATGATTTCATTTCTGACAACAGGATTCAGTTCATGTTCTGGTCACCAATTGTTTTGAGACTGGTCATCTCATCATATCCACCCCTCTATTGTACACTTTAATTCTGTATCTCAGTTTGGCAAAATCAACAGCATGTTCTGGAAACTCAGGAATGAATAGGGAAGGTGCAGAAGTCAAACCTGTAACATGCCTGATTTTAAACAGGCATGTTTAATTCTTCAAAATGTAACTGACTTGGATTTGGAAACAAGTGCGCCACCAATGATAAAACCTTTGTGGGAGAGGACAGCTTTACCTTTGATGTGCAATCAAATGCTTGTAAAATAGTTTGCATACAGTTCACCTTCTAAATAAAACCACTACAACCTATTAATATGCTCAGATATAAATAAATGTTTACATACTGCCACAGGAAGTGACATTGCAATGTTGCCAGGTCACTGGCTTCTTTCTCCACCCACAGTATTGATCAGGCACAGGTTTATTATTCTTTCTGTGTATACAGGCTACTTGTCGTGACTGGAATCCACTGCCACAGTCTACACTGCAGGGTCTCCAGGGACCTGCCCACCAGTACACATCACATGTCTCTGAGGAGCAGTTTCTTCTGGCAGCTGATCTGTAGAGATAAACAAATAGTAGTGAAAGATTTATGTTTGTGCTAGATGCCTTCTTCCTACAGTTATTAATTATACATCAGTCATCACAAAATAAAAAGAAATGAGTCCTTGTTTGTTTAAACTACTGCACCTTCACCCTGGGATAGAGAAAATAGTTTGATGCTTATGGAAAGTCTGGATGGAAAGTATTAATAAAATTACTACTTAGCAAAACAAATCCATTTTAATTTAATTTACCATTTACCATAATGGATACTACAAATGTTTTACACAGAACGGGCACATGCAGTATGTGGCACTGCAAACACTGAACAGTCCAGTATCCAGGGGTCAAAAAACCCCCAGAAAAAAACCCCAGTGCAACACATGCTCGGCCAGCATGTGCTGCTGAAAAGTGGAGCTGGGCTGCCTGGAGCTGTGCTGCGGCTGCCGGTCAGGCTCCATGCGATGGAATCACCATGGCTGCAGCCTCGGGAGTCTCCCAGGACGCTAGGTAAGGCTGCTGGGGCCAGCCCAGTACTGGCCCCAGCTTCCCCTACCCCATCCAGGGCAACTTGCCATGTGCCAAGGTGCACATGGCACAGGCATTCTCAAGACAAGTAGCGGCAGCGCAAGATGCACCACTGCTGCTTGAACCTGGGGAACCAAACATCCACATCTGGATGCGCCCAACCAGTCTCTTCAGAATAGCATCCCTCTGCTGATACCAAGACTTCTCCAGAAGACTTTTTAATTTCTGATGTGAAATTCTGAGCTATTTCAGTAAAGTGGAGATATTATCATGTATTTCAGTGAAGTGAAAATTTCACACAAGGTTCTGCAAAAATGCCTTAAAATGGTCTAATTATATTAAAAATAATACGTGCACACTGTACATGTTCCTTTAATACTTTCATCCTTTATTCACCTACTTTCCCACTCACTGAGCACATCTACACATTGCCCTATGGTGTCATGCTTTAGTACTTCCCTTTGAAAGTACTAAAGCATGACGCAGTAGGGGCAGTTACTGTACCATATGCATGGTACACAGTTAGATTTCGCCACTATGTCACCATAGCAGTAGACTATAATGGGGAACCACACTGCTATGGCAATGTAGCTGCTGATCACGTGTAGATCCATATGATCACTGTCACCGTAGCACGTTGTACAGTGATGTAGTGCATAAGTGACGTGTAGCGGAGGCACAGGGGGCATGTGCCCCGCCCTGAGATTGGCCCTTGCCAGCCAGAGGCTGGGGGCACCAAGAGAAGTGCCAGCCAGTGCCCCTACTGAGATTGGCATCGGCCAGTGAGTGGGGGCACTGAGAGAAGCATCGGTGGCACTTCCAGTTTTGCTGCTGGTGCTTCTGGGGTCGGTGATTGGCTGGGGGGATCCCCACCCCGGTCGGCGATTGGCTGCTGGGCCCCCCTCCCAGTTGATGATCAGCTGCTTGTGCCCCCCCTTCTCCCCCCCAGACTCAGGAGGTACCAGTCTCCCATGACGTCGTGCATAGCTACATTGTGGTAGGGCAACGTGTAGATGCACCCACTGAATCCCACCTCAAACAAATATACTTTCTCCCACAAGTCATCATTAATTGTTCCTTCACCTTGGCAAATTGTTCCTGTTAGTTTTTTAAATTATGTACACTCTAGTTAGATCCCAATTCAGCAACACACTGGAGCATGTGCCAAAATAAATCTCAAATAACCCAACAGGAATATGCTGATTATAATCTTGTTGAGTTGTCAAATCTGTAATTTTCCTTTAACACGAAACTATTTAGAGGTTTAAAACAAATCAACCAAGTGCCTAGAAATAACATGCATCTCAAGAATAGAATCACATCTTTCTGTTTATTCAACTTTTCATTTCTTGCCTTGGCTGTCTGAGAAAGTACAGCGTCAGCAGCACGCACTTAAGAGGCACAGAGTGTGTTTGTTTTCCAAGAGAATAACACATACTGCAAAACACGATGCCCAAGAAAACTCTAATTTTACAAAGTTTAGTCTGTAGCAATCTAAAATCAAAAGAATCATCAACAGTGGCACAGTTTAATAATGAAAGACCTCTAAAAAAAAAGTCTACTTCTGATTTGCAATGTTATTACATTTTTTTAACTCAGCCCAAATAAGGAGAAGGACATTAAAACAGTGGAAACCTCTGTTACATATAATATGCATGTTGCATAACTCTAGAAAAATCCCCATTTTTTCTTGATCTGCAGTTTAGTAATTATCTAGTTTTAAGTCCAAGATAAATGCTACTATCCACCTCAGGAATCTGCAACCTTTGAGGAGTGGCGGTCCAAAATAATGCAGCTTGGTATGAGGTAGGCTGGCATTTCCAAACTGGCTATCACTCACGTTTCTTCCCTGCCCCTGACACTGTTGCTTCCTCCTGCTGCTATGTGTGGGACTCGCCACAGAATCTCTCCAGCACTGAAATGCCACCAATATCCGGGCTTTGCAGGCCGACTGAAATCAAGTGAGAGGCTGGATCTGCCAGAGGCCGGTCACCCCGGTCTATATGATTCCATTTAGGAATTAAGGGTGTGTGTAGACGAAACGGGGGCCCTAAATCAAAGTGGTGGGTTTTTAAAAACACTGCTTCAATTTAGGGCCCTTTAAACTCCTGTGTCGTGCACACACCTGAACTTACCTGCCTCTCAGGTGGCAGGGAGGGGAGCTGTCGGTGGGTGGAGCAGTCCCTGGGTTGGGGGTGGGGGGCAGGGGGGAGGCTTGTGCTTCTCTGCATGGGTTTTTGTACTGTTTGAAACTACATACCTCCTCCTTTCATTACAATAGGAATCTGGAACCAAAGATCCATTGCGATGCTGACATACGAAATGACGGGGCTGTAGCCCTACCGCATGGTGTACGCAGTGACCAGAACACTAAAATAAAGTTAAACAATTGTATCAGTATCAGTGAATCAACATTACTATATCACCATCCTGACTGACATTCAGACTATTCACCTGGGCATCAACTTGGTCTAGGTCCTGACATCCAGGAGGTAATGAAGTCTTGCAGATTCTTGCTGCATCCATACAGCTAAACCTCTCGCCAGGCTCTCACCATTTCATGACTCTGTTAATGAAACCTCTTTTGGCTTGATCAATGCAATCCTCCCCATCAATACCCCTCCAGAATGAGGCTGCAAAGATCATTTTCCTGGGCTGTCTCTGAGCATCACTCCTCACTATGCATTGCTCTTGTGGTTTCCCCTTCTCTACAGCATTAAACACAAGCAGCCTCTGCTCACTTTCAATGTCCTTCACAGGTTATTATTTTACATTCAGTACAGAAATCTTGAATCCTTTCCATGATCAGGCCATGATACCAGCCTCCCTCATCTATTTGTCTGGTTTTCAAATACACACCTTCATGCTTTCTTTCAGGTTGCCCTTCATGCTTGAGAGGTCCTTGCCATAAACATCTGAAAAGCTGCTTCCCTCTATTCCTTCAAAACCCTTCTTAAAAATCTCCTTTACCAAGATGTCTACAAAACTATTGACAAGAGGTTGTGGATGGACTATGGCTATCACAGGGGTAGGCAATGGTTTTTGGCCGGAGTGCCAAAAAACCCACAATGTCTACCTTGTGAGGTGCCGGAGTGCCGGCATGCCGCAAAAACAAAACTGGGGCAGAGGGGGTACATGGCAGGATGCACTGCATATTTAATACAGTTAAAAATCATTAATGTTGCCTTTTTTTTTTCTTTTTCTTTTTTTTTTTTTTTTTACAGTAAATACCAGGCTTTCTAAAAATTCAAAACCTGATGACAAGAAATAAAACTTCATGTACTGCCTTTGAACTTGTAAATTTTTTTTTTCTTGTTAAGCATGTTGTGATTGTGCGGGCCGTCTCCAGATCCCATCCTCGTCGCCATGTGCGGGCGGCGGGGAGCGATCCAGGCCCTTTTTCGCGCCGCGCGGCCAGCAGCCCGGGCACGCTGGGTTGGAGAAAACAGGCGCCACACTAGAATTAGGCACAGACACGTAATGGTTGATTCAAGATTGTTTACTTACACCGAAGATGGTCGCGGTGCAGGCTGGACAGTTTCCCAGGCACAGCTCCGCTTAAATCCTCATTTGAGGACTCAGACAATATTCGATCACTCCCACGGAGTTGTCGAGGCTCCGTGGATCCTTTTGTTCACTCACAATTCACTCACACGAAGTTTGCTAGGCTCCGTGGGTCCTTTTTTTGCGCGCAGGGAGAGGG